AGCAAAGCAATCTTGAGAATCTAGCTGAGGTGGATCTTGAGCATACTGTCACATATTCAAAGTCTAAGCAGACCAATTCAGGGATTCATATTACAGTGGCCAACATGGACACTAGGGGGACATTTGAAATGGCAGTGGTTATGACATAGCATTTCAGGTTCACAGTAATTCATAAGCATTATGCCCTGGATAACTGAATACCTCTGCCACAATAATCCACAATGTGTGCAGTATTTAGTTATGAGTTCAAGAAGGGCAGAATTCTTTGGAAGAGATGAGAAGTATAGAATTTGTGCTTCAGCCCTGGCCGGTTTGGCTCAGTGGATAGAGCATCAGCCTGCCTATCAAAGGGTCCCAGGTTCGATTCCGGTCAGAGGCACGAGCCTGGGAGGCAGCCAGTCAATGATTCCCTCTCATCATTGATGATTCTATCTCTCCCTTCCTCTCTGAAATCAATAAAAATATATTTTTAAAAAAATTTGTGCTTCAGGTTAAGTTAATTTGTTTGGATGTGGCCAATAGCTAATCTGAGTAGTTTGTGGAATGTTTAAAACTTATCCATGCCAAATTTCCAAATGTCAGAAAATGCATGATAGGAGGGATGGTAGAAGAGTTTACTTTCTGAATCAGATACAATCTAAGTAGAAATTAGCCCAGACTCTGTGTGCACCACTCACATCAGAACATGAGTGGACTACTCTCAGTTTAGTAAAGTGATGGAATGTGTTATGTCTGCTTGCACTCTGAAGGGGCAAATCATTTCAGATAGAGGCCGCTTGAGTGCACACTATGCAGCCAAACCTTTGGATCTGGAGAAGATTTTGTCATGCTGGGAGGGATGTTTCAAGCCATATAGAGCATGCTAGAGAAGTGAGGGAGAGTAATACTCACCTCAAGCTCTTCTATGGATGAGTTTGAAACAGTAATTTTAAAAATGTGCAGGAGGAGTAGCTGAATATAGCTCCTAAGAACACAAGACTGTGGAAGTGACTTCTAAAGGGAATATAGAAAACAATATTCTGGATATTAAAGTCTCATATAGGGCTCCTGAATGGTAAAATGCTGCCTTCTTTTTCCTCCTTTCACACCACCTGGTTAGAGGCTCAGAGTGTCTATCCTCTAGAACGCATGTCATGTCTTCATTGTTAAAATTAACACGAGCATCTTTTTCATTCCATTTTAAAAATAGTTTTCACTTCACTATATTTCTATTGTCTTCAATCACAGTATTTAAAAACTACTGTAATTTAACTTCAAAGGTAGTTGAGTGTTGTATTGTTGCGCTGAAATTGTTCAGGGACAAGGATGAAAGTGAAGGTTTGTATCTCTTGTGAACATTTAAGAAGACAGGGTCAATATCCTCTATCAATAGCTCCATAAAAATGGTGTTAGGGTTACTCTGACTACATGTAAGCAGAATAAGCAGAGGAGTGGACAATTAAACTTCTGCTCCAATTTTTGTGCCATCAGGAAGAAGGTTCCTCTGTGAGCCAATTGGCAAACATCTCCTTCTGAAATGCTGAGATTTCTGGGTAATGCACAATTTAAAATTACAAGAGCTTCTCAAGCATCATGAAAGCTGGAGCCTAACCTCCACTCCCCATCCCCAATTCACATCTGACTATCTACCTAGTTAGATAACCCTCCCCTCTCCACTTCCTGCCACCTACCACAAAAACACACAGGAAAGGGGAAAGGTATAGAAGGCAACATTTGCTAAGAGCAATATGGGGAGGTGGGGCAGACACTATGTACAGCATCAACAGGGGAGGGAGATAACTTCCAGCTGGGGTGGCTTCAGAAGCTGGGTGATGAAGGTTGAAACCCTAAGAATGAGCAGGACCAGGATCTAGGAAGAAGAGGAGGGCAGTCAGGAGGAAGAAAATGTCATGCAAGGACAAAGAGAAAGAAGAAGGCACACTTGGGGCAGAGTGAATGAGAGTTCCTTTTGGATGGGGCAGAGAAGTGGAGGACTTGTGTTCTGAGGCTTAATTCTGATCAATGCTGAATTTCAGGATGAGGAAAATAGGGTTTACTTTGTGTATGGTAGGGTTGCCATCCAGATCCTTTGGGCAGAAGAGTGACAAGTTGAAAATAAGGAAGAGTGAAGTTTAATTTGATGGTAACATGCAAGGTAAGTTGGAAGGGGAGAAGGAGGCGCTGAAGGCAGATAGGCCAGAGAAGGGGACCTAAATCTGTACACAAATGTTTATAGCAGCTCTTTCCATAGTTACTCAAGACTGGGAATAACCCAAATATCCTTCTGTGGGTAAATCTATATATATGTATAGAAGCCCAGCAACCGGATGGCAGAATGACCAGAATGACCAGTGGCTATGATGCCAACAAGCTTGATCCAGGCCCTGATCAGCCCCTCCCCTCCCCACCCGGCTGGCCTGGCCCCCAATCAGCCCCCTACAACCCAATCAGGGACAGGGCCGGTAGGACAGCCATCTGCAGCCCCTCCCTATCGCCAGCCTGGCCTGATGGGCCCCCAATGGGGCAGGCTGGCTGGACCCCACCTGTGCACAAATTCGTGTACCAGTAGATATATAAATGGGAACATCCTCATAACAGAATACTACTCAGCAAAAGAAAATAATGAATTGTTGATACATGAAACAACTTAAATGAGTTTGAGGGCATTACACTAAATGAAAGAAGCCTGTCTCTAAATGTGACATATAGTAGATTTTATTTATATGTCATTCTGAAAAAGACAAAACTATAGGAATTTTGAGTAGATCAGTGGTTGCCAAAATTCAGGCAAGGGATAAAATATGACTACAAAGGGGTAGAATAGGGAATTTTGGGGAGGGGGTATTGAACTGTGTACCCACTGTGGTGGTGGTTACACAAACCTATATATTGTTAAGCTTCTGTTGTAATATACCCCGCGAATCACAGAAGGACGCCTCAAGAAGTCGAATTAAAGAGCCACATTTACTGCAATCCAGGACTATGAGGGGCCATTCCCCAAATCTCATAGTGATAAGATGGTGGCAAAACCAGACTTATATAGGCAAAGATCACAAAGGTATTGATTACATCTCAAGGTTTGGAATGAGGAACCTGGTTTGCAAAAAAGCAGTTTACAGAAGCAGAATTAAGCATGTTAATTATAGTTTTGGGTCTGGGGTCACTGAATTGAAAGAAACACCTTATCTAGAGTCCTCGGGTCTTGAGACCACTGAGTTGCCAGGAACTCATTATCTAGAGCCATCGAGGTAATTTAGAGTAATTGCGCTGTCCTGGTCTTGGGACCACTGAGTCAACTGGAACGCATTATCTGTGGCCACTAAAACAATTTAGGATAATTGTGCTGTCCTGTTTCCCAGGTACAGAAGAATGTGCTTCGATAACCAGTAAGATCACAATCAATGGGATAGTCATGTTACAATCAATAAGGCATTCAATCGAATGGGATGACTTATACAATTTAGAAAATCAAAGTAACCTGTCCATTGTTAAACAAAGCAAATAGGTACCATACTTCACTTCATGAAACTGTACACCCAAAAGAGGGTCAATTTTGCAATATGATAGTACTTTTTGGAAAAAAAAAAGACCAGAGTTGCCCCCTATTAAATGTAATAGCTGAAAGAAAAGAAACATTTTGTCATGGTAGTTAATGACTACATCTTTATAATTCACTGGCTATATTTACATTAAACACTCTTCCTCAAATAATAGAAAATGTATCCTTCAACTGTGGAATAACTTTTTCATGCTTATATATAAGTTATAAAACATTAAGCCAGCAAAAAATTTATTTTTTCCAACCCTTCCTTTCCCTGTGGTAGACTGTTGTTGGCTGCCATATCCCACTGTGACCATTCTAAACAAGAAATCCCTCTCTGCCTCCTTCCCAAGATTCTGAAGATGACATCACTGGCCAGATTGCCATTCCAGGCATCAACATACCTCCAAGTACCAGTGGATTCCGGGGTGTGGTGATATCAGTTTCCTCTTTTAACTTTTTTTTTTTTTACAGCAATTATGTTCCCTCCACATTCTGATCATAACAATTATAGATGTTGGTAGTTTTAATGGAACAAAGTGAATGATACCTGAATATCTAAAGAGTGCCATTGAGGGAATAACAATTCCACCTACTAATAAGCCTCACACCAAATAGTGGGATACTCTCTGAGTGTTTCATGAATGTGTGAGTTATTTTCCAACATATTTCTTTGTGGTCCAATATCAAGCTCACTCTGCAGAAAGCAGGCTTTTCTATGGACTCATTTGATTAACAAGGCACTGGATCTACTAGAAAGGCTGTCTGAAGCCTCCATTTCAAATCCAAGTGGAATCACCTAGCACTCATGAATGAAAATGTCAGACATCTAGCACTTGATATTTTGAGTTCAGCCAGAAAGAGAAAAAGTCATGAATTACTTATATAAACTTATTAACTAGAGAAAACTGGGCCTCTTTGCACAGATTAATCTGGGAGAGTTTTTAAAGGTGTTGTTTTGGTTAGATTTAAAAAAAATTTCTAACACATCAATATGTTGTGAAAACTGTCATTTGCAACTATTTTCCAAAGTGTTAAAAATTGATAATTTGCCCTCCATAATGTGTCAAATATTGCTTATGTAGGACCTCTTTTAAAAATATTTTAAAAGTATGCTGATTGTTTAAAACATTAAACAAAACACACACCTATTCAAGAAAACTAGTAAAAAAAAAAAATCCCACAACCTCACTCGTAGATTCTTTTCTAGTCGCCCCCCTCACCTCGTCTACCATCTCCGCCCATTTTAATGCTAAATAGGACTACAGGGGAAATGGTGGACTGTAGGGTATTGGGGGAGGAGGGGAGGGGAGCGATTTGGCTGTAGGAGGGTGAAAGCGATGATTCCCCAAAGAAGAAGGGGAAATGGTCCAATAAACCCAAGAGGCCGATCCTCCCTGGTAATCCGAGGAAGGAGAATAGAAACTGCGCGACAGTACCAGTTTTATTGTCTCTCATTGGCAAATACGAAAAAAGATTGACAGCATCAAGTGGAGGGAATACAGGGGGCGGGCTGCGGTATTAAAGGGAGGGGTAACTGAGGACTCCAGCTCATTGATGACGCGCGACCCTCACGTGACCAGGAGTCGACGTGTGCAGAAGTCCTTATAGTCCGGGGCCTGTTTCCCTGGAGCAGCTCCCTATTGCTGGAGAAGAAAAGTGCCCCGGATCCTTTCAGGTGAGTATAAAGGTGGGAGCTGCCTTGGGGACCTTAAAGTCTGGGAGTCAGAGAACAGAAGCCAAGCAAGGCCGGCACTGCTTTCTCAACACTACGGTTCCGCCAAACTCCCATTTTTGTGCAGGATTTTCGGGGCTGTTTGGTCGGGGGGTAAGGTGGGTGTGGAGAGGGAGGACTGAAGCCAATTAAGGGTCGCTCTCGAGAGAGAGACATAGAAACAATTTGGAAATAACTTGCGTCTCCCACTCCCTGCTTGCAGGGAACCGGTGGGCACCGGGAAGGGAGGGCGGGGTTGCCTGAAAAGGGGAGAGAGGATGAAGATATGGGGAAACTTTAGACGAACAAGGCCTAGAATCGTGAAGGGGACCCGTGATTCGGGTACTGGTCTGCTCACCAAGCACTCCTGTCGGTCTGCAGGACTTTTGGCGTTTTGAGCGCGACACAAATCGAGTGAGGGAAGAAGGAGAAAAATCCGCTGGCTCCCTGCAGGTCAGTGTAAAGGTGCAATGGCCTCAGATCCCTTGCGGTGGGGGTGGGAGTGTGGATGACACCAAAGCACATCTCACTGTCGCCAAAGCAGCCTCTCCCCATCCGGATTAAGCCTGGAGGCCTTTGCAGAGCCTGCAGCGGAAATGAGGCGGGGGCGGGGTTAAGGTTGGAGAGGCATGGAAGGGGGAAGGGAGGCCAGAGTCTGGACCAGCGAGTCCCAGGTGAGAAGCTGGAGGTTGGGATGGTTTGGAATAGCCCGAAAGGCGGGAATGTTGGAGACCAGTGGTGAGGGAGGAGTTAAATGCTTCCGCGCAGCCTGCATTTCTGGGCCTGTAGCAGGGCCTGCTGGGAAATGGTGGGCTGGAGCTGGAGGAGAGAAGATGGAGCTAGGGGGAGAGGGAGAGGGAGAGGGAAGGGAGGTGGAGGAAGGGGTGGAGTCAGGGGAGTTCTGAGCCTAAGAAGCTAGCCTTCTCTAGTTGGAAAACTGACAATTCGGAATCTGAATGAAAAAAGGCCAGTCTCTGCTCTGGGAATCCATACTCTGGCTGCTGGTCTGTTTGCCTGGCATCTAGTTGTTTTGTTTCCTTGTTTTCTAGGATTAATTTATCCAAAAAGGAAATAATAAAAAAATACTCAACATGCAACAGTCTTGTGAAGAAAATGAAGGAAAACCACAGAACATGCCAAAGGCCGAAGAAGACCACCCTTCAGAAGAGGTACCAAGGGAGGCAGAAGGAAATCCTCCGCCTTCCCAAGAAGGTGTCAGGCAGGAGGCAGAAGGAAACCTTAGAAGCGGGCTGACTCAACCTGGGCAGGCATTCAAAGAGGACACTCCCGTTAGGCATTTGGACCCTGAAGAAATGCTAAGAGGAGTAGATGAGATGGAAAGGCTTAGGGAAGAAATAAGAAGAGTAAGAAACAAGTTTGTGATGCTGCATTGGAAGCAAAGACATTCACACAGACGACCTTATCCTGTGTGCTTTAGGCCTTGAATTCTTTTTTTTTTATCTGATAGTAAAATCTGGCCCCTGCTTTCTATTAGCATATTCTGATGTATCTTTTTACCTTCGTTTTACTTTTAATCATCTGGTAGAATTTTGTTTTATATAGTTTCCTTGTTAACCAGCATCTTACTGGATTTTGTATTTTGACCTATTCTCCAGGTCTATTTTTCAATTGGGAAGTTTCACACAAATGCATGAAAATGTTCATTTCATATTGTAAAGTAACATAAGTTGCAAAGTATATTTAGTATCAGCTCACATATGTACAATAAAAATCCAAAATTGTGTGTGTGCATGTGTGTATACATACATACATACATACATCAAAAAATTAACTGCTTATTTCTGTGTGGTGTGAGTTTTCTTTTTGCTTATATGTATTTTTTAATGAACTTGTGTCACAGACAGAATTAAAATTTTTTAATAAGTAAGAATGAAATAATTTGCAATCAGCTTATAAGGGCAATGGGGGCACCTAAACTCTTGATGAAATAATTATTAAAATGTAAACCTCAAATCACCTCTGGATCTCTTAGCCAGAGGAATAAAACTGGCAATTATTACAGACACACTTGCTTAAGACCTGGTCTTTTCATGGGGAAAACATTTGCCTCAGCGGGCAGCTGTGGAGAAGAAAGGAGTTGTGCTTGGTGGGCTCATGTTCCCACCTGTGTAGGACCCCAACCCACCACGGAACATAGTGATTTGAGGGAGGGCCCTGGCATGACTCAACCCCTGATCCAGAACAAGTCCAACAGGCAGGGAGGTGGGAGTTTCCATGCCAGTCCTGTGCTGGTGAGCTCCACCTCTGTCTCCCTTGGGTCCTGCCACGTCTGCTGGGCTCTTTGCTCTCTGCTGGCCCCACTGCCGATGGGGCACTGGAGCTGAGTGCCAAATCCCCACTGGAGTCCCCAGTGGGTTGAACTCCCCACTCTGTTTTCTGAAGCCTCAGTCTCCTTTATAATGACACTTAACACAGGTGGGATTGTCCTAGGAATACTTGTTGTTAGCAAAACAGCCCCTTTTGGTTTTTAGTCCCACTACCCCTCTTCTCCATAGGAGTCAGACATAATGAGTCCATTTTAGGAGTTGGAACAGGTACAAGGTTAAGTGAAATATGCTGTAGTCAGAGTTGCTGCCCTAGATCTAAGGACTAAGATTTTTGTGAAAATTATGTGAAATTATCTGATCCTGAAGGCTCCTGGTGGGCCTGCCTTCCTAGTTCAGAATAAATTGCACAAAGCAATATAGGAAAGAGATATCAGGGAAAAGTCTCCTTTACCCCATCCCATCCTCAAATAAAATGTGAAAAAAACTTGCAAAGGCAGTAAGAACTTTATAAATGCACTTGAAGTCAAAAGGCTACTATGTAAATGTTAGGAATTATATTTCCCTTACAGATCAAACAATGACATCTTCTGATATTCCCACATGACTGCCACATTATGTTTTAATATTGATTTTTTTTTAAAGATCCAAAGTTCAGATTTTCCTGTCTCATACTTTAAACTTTTGTTTGTTTACATCAGGACCCAAACAAGACCCTCCTCTTGCATTTGTTATTATGTCTCTTTTTAAAAATATATTTCTTTATTGATTTCAGAGAGGAAGGGAGAGGGAGAGAGAGACAGAGACATCAATGATGAGAATCACTGATCTGCTGCCTCCTGCATGCCTCCTACTGGGGATCGAGTCTGCAACCCAGGCATGTGCCGTTGACCAGAATTGAACCTGGGACCCTTCAGTCAGCAGGCTGATGCTCTCTCTACTGAGCCAAACTGGCTAGGGCATTGATTTCTTTTTAAACCCTCACCTGAAGATATGTTTTTTTTCTTTATTGATTATGGTTTTATATATGTGTCCTTATCCCCCCCTTGGCCCCCCCCCCCCCCCCCGCCGCCCCCCCCCCCCCTCCCCCCCCAGCAGCTCCTCCCACCTCTCACCCTCCAGCAGCTCCTCCCACCTCTCAC